CCAGCCTGGGCTACATGGTAAGCTCAAGACCAACCTGAACTACATAGTGAGACTTGCCCCCCCATTCATTTTCTCTTGGTTCTTGAGGTTAGTGCCACAGTACATGACTAACCTTAGCTACTCAGAAAGCTGAGGCAAAAGGTTCATAAATTCAAGGACAGCCTGGACAACTTAGTGAGACCTTGTCTTAAGACAAAATAAAAAGGGCTGGGGATATAGCTCAGTAGTAGAGTGCTTGTCTAGTGTGCACAAGGCCCTGGGTTAGATCTTTAGCACACCTCCCCTTCCCTTCAAAAAAAGCTCTGGCCAATTTGGTTTCTGGTGAACAGCTTGTAAATTGCTATAACCTGTGTCCACATGTAGGGATGGGGTGGAAACCAAAGAGCTCTCTTTAGTCTGTCTCTTGCTATAAGGACACGGTTATGGTTTGTGTCTGCATGTCCCCCCAAATCCTCATGCAGTCATGAGGCTGGCTTCTAGATTGTTGATTGATCCATAGTCTAATGCTAGGATTATAGATGTGAGTGCAACACCTGCCCTGGGTGGGTTTTTTGCACACACAAGTAAGGGGGGGAAAGAGGCTGCTTGCCACTGCTCCTCCCTTTTGCTCTTGTGGCTTTTGCTATCTTGCACTGCCATGTACTGTTGCCCTCTGCCATGTGCCACTTTGCCTTGGAGCCAGCCAAGTACGGACTGAAACCTCCACAAACTGTAAGCTAAATAAACCTTTCCTTGCTTAATTTTTGGCGTCAGGTATTTTGTCTCAGCAAGGAGAGAAAAGTAACCAAGACAGACACTAATCCTATCAGATCAGGGCCTCATCCACATGACCTCATCCAAACCTAATTACTTCCTTAGATCAGTACATAACAATCATCTCCCCCTCTTTTCTTTAGCATGGTGTTTTGATGTGCACAATTTTCAATTTAGTCCAGCTTACCTACTTTTTCTTTACTTATGCTTTTGTTGTTATACCTAAGAATCCATTGCCAAATCCAAGATCATGAAGATTTACCCTTTTTTTGTTTTCTAAAAGTTTTATAGTCTTAGCCTTTACATTTAGGTGTGGATCCATTTTGAGCTAATTTTTGTGTATGGTGTGACACAGGTGTCCACCTTCCTCCTGTTGCATGTGGATATCCACTTGTCCCTGCTCCATTTGTTTCAGTTAGCAATAATTATGCCTCAGATAAACCTCATTGCCTACAATACTGCCACTGCACGAAGCTTCAGTTCTATTTATTGAAGATGGTTTTTTGCTCATGGAATAATCTTGATGCATTTGTTGAAAACTGATGCAGTATGTGTCTGTACCAACTCCCCATGACAAATGTGTTCACTATATATCATAAACATGTACTAATGAAAATGCTATTCCAAATGTTTAAAAAAAGGAAAAAAGAAAATTAACTCATGATAAACATATGGGTTTATTTTCAGACTCCCAATATCACTGCATTGCTCTATATGATTATATATCTATCCTATGTAAGTACCACACCCTTTTGGTTTCTGTAGCTTTCTAGTAAGTTTTGAAATTGGGACATGTGGGTTTCCCAGCCTGACTTTCATTACCATAGATTACTTTTGCCTAGTTTAGCAATTTGTATAAGTGGAATTATATAATATGTTCTCTTTGTGTCTGCTTTCTTTCACTGAATGTTATGTTTGAGTGTTACTTAAGCTTTTAAAAAATTTATTAACGCATTTAAATAATTTAAGAAATTCAAACAGGATGAAAAAGTTAACATGAAAAGCCGTGCAGAGATAACCAGTATTGTAAGTTTCTTGAGTATTTCTGGAGAGCAAGTTTAGGCATAAATAGGACCCTGACAGTGTCTGTCCTGGGGCTGGACACAGCACTCAACACCTACAGCTAAAAAGGAGAGGTTTACTTTGGTACATGGTTCAGTCCATGGTCAGCTGGTGCCAAGGCGGAAACAAGACGGGAGAGAAAATGTGCTTAATTCAGCCTCCCCACCTCTTCCGAATGGATCCCCTCTCCTAACAGCATGTTCAGCTCTGAACCCTTTAGAGGATTAAACCACTGATGAAACTAGCACCCCGTGATTCCATCCCTTCCAAAAGCCCAGCCTCTGAACACACAAGGCTTTGGTTCAGCCCAATCTCTGAACACACAAGGCTTTTAGATCTAAACCGGGATATTTAGTGTACCTGCTCCTTTTGCCATAGAGATGGTAGCACATGCAACATGCTTCATTCATACTTTCTAAACAGTCCTCAGTCAGCTTTTTTTTTTTTGTTTTTCTCCGGTACCAGGAACCGAACTCACGACCTTGCACTTGCCAGGCAGGCGCTTTTGCCGCTGAGCTAAATCCCCAGCCCCAATCCTCAGTCAGCTTACTGTGTCCATCCCTACTGCCATTTCACCTCCAATTTTAAAAGTACAGGGCTGCCACTCAGTTGGGTTATCCAGCACTTCCTCTTAAGTATGTTTGGTTTATGCATTTGAGATAGTAAATGCCACAGAAGTGACTGTGTGCCTTCCTGGCCCCCCTATCCCAGGTCCTGTGTAGGTAGCACTTTGTGCTATTATTAGTGAGGTGAATTTTTTTTTTTTTTTGTACCAGGAATTGAACTCATGACCTCAGGCTTGCCAGGCAAGTGCTCATGCCACTGAGCTACATCCCTGGCCCAGTGAAGTGAATTTTGACCAGTTGTTTGAGATGGAGTCTGCCATATTTCCCAACTGCAAAATCAACAGTTTTTCTTCTGTAATTAATAAGCAGCCCATGGGGAGACTCTACAAGGTAATTTCTGTTTTGTTACCATGAAACATTCATTAGGGGTTTTAATGTGCACTGAATTCATTCTGTCTGAATGAATGATGACTGAAGTGATGGCAAAATGGTTTGTAGTATATTTGCGTTGCTCTTGAGTTCTGATGGACTCCAGAGCCGGGATGACTTTGTAAAGCTGCCAAAGTGCCTTTTTCAGTGTGCCTGCCTGTGTTTGGCTTCTGCAGCCCAGCCTGCCATTTCCAGAAGGCTTTCTTATAGTCCCAGCAGAACTATGAAAATGAGAGAGACAGAGACAGAGACAGAGAGACAGAGACAGAGAAACAGAGAAACACAGAGAGAGAAACAGAAAGAAACAGAGAGAAACAGAGAGAGAGAATAAGAGAGAGGAGATTATTTGGGGTCCACGGTGACAGTATCAGATGCACAGAACTTGCCTCCATGTTTCCTTCCTGGCTCCAGATACATCAGGTAGCTGTGGCCAAGGGTGGTGCCGTTGTGCACAGCCTCTGCGCCAAAGACCTCTCCCCACAGACCTCATGTGTATCTCTGGTCTTTGTTCTAAGGCTCTCTCTTTCTCTGGGCCAGTGCTTTAAGGTTCTCTAGAGGAGTAGAAATGGCAGAAGGTATCTATAATTATAGAGGAGTCTTATTAGATTGGCTTATATGATCTGAGTCTGAATAGTCCCACAATGGCCATCTGCAGCCTGGAGAGCTGGACAAACCAATAGCTGCTCAGACCAAGGAGCTGGAAGCCTCAGAACAAGAAAATTCAGTGATGCAGCCCCAATCTAAGCAGAGCTCCCTGGAGAGCTGGCACAAGTCTGCATTCAAAGGCTAAAGAATATGGCATCTGATGTCTGTGAATAACAACAACAGCAAAAGATGCGCCTGCTCAAGAAGAGTCGAGCTTGCTTACTTTCAAGCTCCCCCTTGTTTCTGCCTTTTCTCTGCCCTAGGCCCCTGCCTATGGCCTGGTGCTTCCACATTTGGGGCAGGTGTTCTTCCCTGTCTGCTGACCCATACACTACACATCGATGGTCTTTGGAAACATCCTCTCAGACACATCAAAAGCATACTTTACCAGATTTCCAGGCCTCTCTCAATGCAGTCAAGTTGATAACCAAGATTAATTAACCCTCACAGCCAGGAATCTAGATCTTCAATGTTGAAGCCAAATTTGGACTCCAGGCTCTGGAGGACCCCATTGTTGAGCAAACTGTGCTCTGGAGTCAATCCTAGAGTAAAAGTTGTTCCTAAACATCTTGATGAGAGTATGTATTTGGGAGAAGGTGGGGCCTATATGACAACATCTGGGTTTACTATGTTAAAGTATCTTTCTGGGGTGATTTTTTTACGGCCCCTGTCTTGGTTCTACAGCTTTGGTAAGTTTTGATCTTCTCTTGGGTAGGCACACAGCTCTTTGATTTTGAAAGCAAATTTGGACTGTAGATCCTTGACTGTTGCTTTCTCAAGCAAGATTTTGTCTGGGAGAATAACCTGGGTAAACTTGTGGGTTGAATATGCTGATGAAGCTTTTCTTTAGATTCTCTCTGAATTAGGTGCAACTATAATCCTATCTAGAAAGATGTCCTGGGGAGGTTGGAAGAAAGTTCTGGCATCCATCCTAGGATAGCTAGCCAGAGTGATATTTAAAAATGCACATCTGACTAACCCTGTGCCCATCTCAAGATCCTTAGGTAGCTGTCCAATTCCTATAGCATCTCTAACTGCAGGTTGCCCATCCTTGGAATGTCTTAATTCATGGGTACCTCCAGCACTATTGTTTTGGTCTTTATTTACTGTAAACATATGGAATGTGAGTGCTTTATGTAGAGGTCATTATGACTATAATACATACAAAGCATTGCTGGATTAGTCATAGTTTCAATCTGTATTCTAAAAATGTGATTGTTTATGTTGGGGGATGTTCAAATTGTTTTGATGTTAAAAAAAGGTATTATCCAGACCATGGAATATCATTCAGCACTAAAGAGAAGTGAATTATCAAGTTATGCAAAGACATAGGAAACCTTAGCTGGAGATTAGTGAATGAGAGAAGCCCAATTGCAAAGGCCACAATGGGTTTGATTCCAACCATAAGACATTCTGGAAAAGGCAAAATTATGGAGACAGTAGAGAGGTCTGTGGCTCCTGGGGTTGAGAAGAGGAAGGGTTGAATAGAAGCAGAGCACAGATTTTTAGAGCATTGAAGTAATTCTCTGTGATACTATAGTGGTAGACACATAGCATCAGCACACATTTGTGAAAACCCCTAGAACATACGACACCCACAGTGAACCCTACAGTGAGCTGTGGGCTCCGCGTGATGATGGAGAACCAGTGCATGTTCATCAGTTGCAAGAGGTCTGCTCTCTGGTGGGAGAGGTTGATGATGGGGGAGGCTGAGTGTGGGAGCTTCTGGGAACTTTGTGCTTCTGTTAAAATTTGGTGCGTAACTAGAATTGCTTTACAGAATGAAGTGGTTTTTTTTTGTAAGGGGACTTTCAGCTTCAAAAAGTATTGGGGATTCCCTTGCTGGGCTCTGGACTACACGAGCCCTCATCCAGTCTGTTTCTTTCTGCATCCTGCTTTTACCCCTTCTCTTACACGGCTGGCCCCTCCCCTCCCCTTCTGCCTGGTCATTGGGCTCCATGCAAGTGGAGGTTTCTCTGCAGCAGCCTTCTTCGGGCATAGCTCTGTCCTCAAAGATTTTTCTTTAGTGGGTTTTAGAGGAGCCGCTTTGGTAGAAACAGCTGTGCTCAGGGGTGTGTTCTCATCCATTCTCTATGGTTTATGCATCCTTCCCCCAGTTGGGTCATTCTTTTATTTAAAGGGCAATGGCCTGGAATGAGGTGTGAGCTGCAGAGGGGATGGGTCTGTGTGTCTCAGGGTGAGGCAAGAGGGAAATTCATGCACTCTGAAGCCTAGACTGCTCCTGGCTCTCTTGCCTTTGTTTCAGACACGTGTCTCATCTGATCCTTTCAGCAGCCCATCCGCTAGGTGTACAAACTCCTCTCACAGGTGAGGAGACTGGGCCTCCCAGAATTCCAAATGTTTACCCAGTTCACGTAGAGGTGAGGTGGGTTCAAACCCAAGTTTTTTGACTCTGTGACCACAGGACCAGAAGACCCCATTGATTTTGGGGAGCAGCAACACAGCTGCGATACTGGCCTGAGCTGAGCTGGGGACACAGTGGCACAGATGGGCTGCTTTGCTCCCTGGGCCCTGAGCATGCTGGGTCACATAAGAAGGGGGTCCAGAGCTTGGGCTCCTGTGTGTTTTCCCTCCATTTCCTCCAGCTTGACTGCTTCTTTCTGGCTTGGGCCTGGATTTCCTCACCTGGCACCTGGAACCCTTCAGAAAGCTGGGTGGAGGTGGAGCTGTGGTCTTAGTGGCCTTTGTTTAGTTTAGAGGATACAGGTCTTCTTTCTGGCTGAAGTGGGCCTGCTCCTCTCCTTTCTCCTCAGCAACTCTTGGGCCTGTGTGACCTGGGGGGAGGCCTGTCTTGGCTCAGGTCTCACTGGGAAAGGGGCTGGTGTCTGCCGCTCTTGCCTTTCAGGGCTGGGATGCACATCCAGTGACTGGGACAGGGCTGGGGCCTGCAGTGTGAGTCCTCCCACACGCTGGGCCCTCAGAGAATAAACCGCCAGTCAAGGATATTTTCAGACACAGCTTAGTTGAATAAATCATGACTGGGGAGAGACAGCACAGTGTCAGCTGCTGTGAAGGCCTGGAGCTGGTTCCTTGGAGGGCCAGTGATGTTCCAGGCTCTGGAGTCAGGCCTTTCCCTCCTGGCCAAGCAGTGCCTCCCCTTTTCCCAGAGCCAGCAGCTTCCCTGCTGCCGTGGGAGGCCTTCCCCACCCGCCTCTACTTCCCAGCAGCTCCTGGTCTCTTCCAGTTCTCATATCTTGACCCAGTCCCTTTTTGGTTCCATATTTTAAAAGTACCATTTGAGTCCCTGCCTAGGACAGGAAGGGAGACCAGAGGGTGAATAAGGCGCAGTCCTTTCCTGGGAGTTGCTCATCCCCTGTGGGGATTTCAAGGAAGGACACGCAGGCACAGGAAGGCCATGTGCAGAGATCAGATCAAGGCTGGGTGGGGCTCGGAAGAGAGGAGCCTCCCGTCCGGCTGGGAAGACAGAGGCACAGTGCTGGGGCCGCTCTCCTGTGTTGATCATTTCTCCTTCCTCTGTGCATCTTTCTCCAGCATGCTCTGGCACTAGTGTCTCTATTAGGCTCTGGGGGACACAGATGACTGATATGCAAGATAGAATGCGTTTCTTTACTTTCTTTAAGACACCTTAATTTAGACTCCAAGTTGCCTCTTGCTTGGTGGGTATCTCAGAGAGTCTTCTGTGGCTGTAACAGAACATCAGACTGGATAGTTTATTTGGCTTATGGTTCCTGAGGCTGGAAGTCTAAGCACTTGGCCTCTGCACCCAGTGAGGGCCTTCGTGCTGCGTCACCACCTGGCAGAAAAGCAAGCGAGTGTGAGACAGAGAGAGAACAGGGCTGATTTCATTAGGAGCCCACCCCAGCAGTAACAGCCTCGATCCACTCTTGAGGGCAGAGTCCCCGTGACCTGGTGACCTCCTGACCTCTTCAGAGCCCCATCTCTCTGCATGTTGCTATCAACTTCTGCATGAACTCTGGAGGGGGCATTCAAGCCATGGCAGTGGGAACACTTGTTTTCCTGGAGTCCCCAGTGCAAGGCAGTGCAAGTTGCAGGTCACAGCAGAACTGAGGGCTGGGGGAAGAGATGGAGGTAGTGTTTGCTGGGCTCTTCAGGGCTCAGGTTCTGGGTAAGGGAATCAGCCTGGTGTGGGATGATGGTCATTTCTCTCTGAATCCTGAGCATCCACTGGGAGCTATGGGGAGCCGGCTGTGGTCCTCACTGCTGGCAGTGCCTCTGCCTAGCCTCTCGGGCTCATGTTTGCAAGCAAATCTCCTCCCCCTCAAGCATGCCGAGGGGAAAACAGAAGCCAAAAAGGTTGGTATTATGGCCCAGATGGTGTTCTCTCACCCTCAATTTGTCTCTTGAAGTCCTAACTCCCATAATCTTAGAATGTGGCTGTATTTGGCAATAAAGATTTTAAAGAAGCAACTAAGCTATCATGAGATCTTTATGGCAGGTCCTGTGCAATATGCCTGGTGCTCCTGTGAGGACAGATTTGGACACCGGTGTGAGCACAGAGAGGGACCATGTCAAGACCACAGGCATCTACCAGCCAAGGAGAGAGGCCTTAGAAATCAGTGCTGAAGTCTTGACCTCAGACTGCCGGTCTCCAAATCTGTGACAAAGTAAATTTCTGCTGTTCAAGCAACCTAAATCTAGTATTTTGTTATGGCAGCCTGTCTGATCTGTTTTCTGTTGCTATAACAGCACCCCAGAGACCCAGGAGTTTACAGTGGAAGGAGGTTTATGTTGGCCAATGGTTCTGGAGGCTGGGAAGTCCAAGAGCATGAGAATGACATCTTCTTGGCTGTAGCAAGAGCCTCATGCCTCTTTAACTGATGGCAGGAAACAGAAGGGCAAGCGGGCACACGCGGAAGAGAGGTCACAAGGTGAGAAAGGAACAAGAGAAAGCCAAAGCCACTGAATGTGCTTTATGAGAACACATTGCCATGCTAACTAATCCAGTCCTGTGACAACCAGCACTCACATGAGAAAGGGACCCTCATTCCCATCTCACATGCCTCCCCCCGGCCCCTCCTCGCTATGATGCTGCATGGAAGAACAAAGTCACAGTGTGAGTTACGGGGAAAACAAGTCACATTCAGACCGTGGTGCAGCCCTGGCAAACGAACATAGTCAGGAGTTGTGTTCAGCCGCTATAACTAGGCTGTAACTAGACTCCAAAACAGTGGCTTAAACACAGTGGAAGCTAGTTTTCAGCTCATGAATTAGCCGGAATGTAGCCATCAGGGCTGATGAGATTCACACCTCCAATTTGCTCTTCTGCCCCTGGGATTCTTCCTCATCCGTGGGATCCTGAAGAGTTTCCCATGTAGTGTGCCTGGGTCCACAGCTGCCAGCGTGAACAGGGGAGAAGGTAAAGGGAAAGGAGGGCCTCTTTCTTATCTTTTCCTCATTTTTTATTGGTACATTTTACTTATACATCATGATCAATTTGTCATGGGGAATTTGCATCTGTACATGATATATCTTGCTTCTTAGGCAAAAACTACAGCTAGAGAAGTTTCCTGGTGAGTTATGGGGCAGGGTGGGGCGGGGCATTTGGGCACGAGACTGGCAAGGTTCTGAGCAGGAGAGCGCTGGCTCCGGATCTGTGTGGGGAGCACACAGAAACCACACACGTGGAGGACAGAAGGTGAGGCCGAGTCAGGGGGGATAGGCGCAAAGTGAACTGATAGAGTCCTTAGAACAGGACGTCTAGTGTTCACCTTTAAATTATTTGGATTCTGTAATGTAGTTCTTACAAACCTTCATTCGAATCTACTAAATATATAAAGCTCTGTGTGTGTGTGTGTGTGTGTGTGTGTGTATGTAAATTTCACTTCTGGGTCATTTTAGCACAGCATTATGAGATGACGATGTACTCATTTACTAGCTGAGTTAGGTAAAAGTAGGACTGCAGCAGAAGTGACTGGAGAAGCCAAGAGTTTAGAATTACAGAGAGACTGGGATGGAGACCGGAGTGGAGTTTTAGCCAGTGTCATTCAGAGAGCAAAATCTCAGCCAGTGTCTGGATTATGATCACAGGCAGAAGCTGGCCAAATGGGGGCTTCCAGAGCACAGTTCCACTGTCAGGGGAGTTGGCAAAGGTGTCACAGAGGAGGCGATACTTTGCTTTCAGGAAAAGTAGGCTTTCCAGAAAGGAAGAGAGTAGATGTCCCAGCAAGGGGAAGAATTTCCACCATGAAGCCACAGAAGCTTTTCTGCAGGGCTAGCATGCTGATCTGGGCATCCAGAAGACATGAAAAAGTAAAAAGCAATGTTAAGGCTGGGCATGGTGGTGCACTCCTGTAACCTCAGCACTCTGGGAGGCAGAGACAGGAGGATCTCAAGTTCAAGCCAAGCCTGGGCAACTCAGTGACTTAGTAAGACTATATCTCAAAACAAAACAAAACAACACCCGCTCCCCCCAAAAAAAACCAACCTTTTTCTTTTAAAGGGTTGGGGATGGAGCTCAATGTGAAGGCCCTAGGTTTAATCCCCAGTACTGGAAAAAAAAGATAATATTGACTTTTTCTGAAGGTGATTTTCCCTATGCTGATTTCCTTGGATGATTGTCATCACTAGTCTGGCTCCTGGGTTTTGTAAAGCAGAAAACTTTCTCCTGAGAGCAGAAAGAGATGGAGAGGGGCTCCCCTGGATGAGGAGCTTCCTTGGGGAAGACACTAAGAAGATGCGGGGGTGTCCAGATAGCCCTCTGAATAGCACCCCTCTCCCTTGCCTAAAACCTGAAGCCATTGGTGCTAGGTGGATGGAGGCAAACCATCTCTGCTGTGGAGGAGCTGTTGCTGGAAATCTCATTCTATCTCCAGAATGAGACAGATTTACCAGTCCTGTCCCAGGCAGGAGGGCAGAGGAAGAGAGGCATGCTTTTTTCTTTGGTCTTTATTTTTTTAAGATAGGGTTTCACTAAGTTTGTAGTTCAGGGTGGCCTAGAACTCATGGCCATCTTCCTGCCTCAGCCTCCCGAGTGCTGGGATTACAGATATATGCCACCACATCTAGGTGCTTAAGAGATACACACTGTGAATTTGATTTTAGTAGGAAAGAACAAAAACAGTGAAGATCACACATACCATGTTTTCCTTCTAAAATCCCAGTTCACCTCCTTAGAGTAGGTGGTGGGTGCAGGGGAGGAGAATGGTGTGTGGGACCCCTTTCACGTGGAAGGAGCTTAAGGACAGGGCAGATGCCCGGCCCTGTATCCCCCAGCATTCTTTTTATTAACAGTTGGACTTAACCATTAAATCTTGGCTCAGCTAAAGGGATGCCTCCCTCCTGGGTTATTCTGTAGTTGAGTTTATCTCTGTATTTCCAGCACCTAGCAGAGTGCCTGGCAAATAGTAGGTGCTCAGTACCTGGTTTTTGAAAGAAGGAAGGAAAAAGAAAAGGTTAAACTGTACTTTAACTCAGAGAGGGAAGGGAAGGAGCTCACCTCTTCAGGATCTCCAAATTGCAAATAAATTTAGTGGGTTGTGAGCATAAATGAAAAAAAAATGACTACCATAGTGTAGGGTAGAACTGGGGATATGAAAGTACAGTATAGGCAGTGAGGTACGGGCTGTTTGTGAAAATTGTTTCTCATGTGTGTTTGAACTATGCTGTGACATAAATGGTGTAAGTTACTGTGAGTTGCAGTAAAAAAAATTTTTTTTTTGGTACCAGGAATCGATCTCAGGACCTTGCACTTGCTGGGCAGGTGCTGTGCCACTGAACTATATTCCCAGCCCTGAGTCACAGTAAAATTAAAGCTGAAAAACTTGACTTCCCCATGTCAGCAGGATGAAATGGCAACTTCTGTCTCTTCTACATGGGAGTGAATTTGAACAGTGGGGACCTCTAATCAAGGGAAGAGGACAGACAGGGCACTGTGGGCTCAAAATAACAAGCCCATTGGTCTGTCTCTGGGAGACTATGGCCCAAGAATTTTATCCCGAATAATAAATATCTGCAGTATTTCATGCCCAAGGCTATGAAATAAAATTGCAAAATTGCATGCCAGCAACTGGTAGTAGTGATGTGTCCACGTTGTTGCTAAAGCCAGAAACCTGAGAGCCGTGTGAAGTTTGATTTCTGTGTCTGTGGTTATTGTGCTGAACTTAATAATGATGACAGTTATTTCACTACTACTAACATTCCCACGAATTTGAGTTCTTTCCAGTTTTCCAAGGTTTTTTCTTACTTTTTCCTCATTTAATTCTACAACAGCCCTGGAAGTAGCCACTCAGGCAGGACTGCTTTACAGGAAACACCCTCGGAGAGGGTGTCCTGGCTGGGTGTCCCATTCTTCCCTGCGGGGTCCTGCTGACAGTGGCAGGGGCTCAATATATAATATCTGTCTCTGAGCCTGAATTCGCAACTCACTGAGAGGTAGACACATAGGGTTGTGGTAAAACTACCCTCTTAATTATGGGCAAAAGTTAGCATAGACCAGGATTCTGACTAGCAGGGAGCTACGGTTTGGTTCTGGATGTCCCCCTCATGCAGTCATGGGAAGGCTTCTAGAGTTATGATTGATTCATGGGTGTGAGCACTACACCTGCCCTGGGGCGAGTAGTTTGCATACAATGTAAGGGAGGGAACGAGGCTGTTTGTCACCACTCTTCCCCTTTGCTCTTGTTACATTTGCTATCTTCCGCTGTCATGAACTGTTGCCCTCGGCCATGTGCCACTCTGCCTTGGAGCCAGCTGATTATAGACTGAAACTTCCACAAACTGTGAGCTAAATAAGCCTTTCCTTCCTTAATTCTGGGTGTCAGGTATCTTGTCTCAACAACGAGAGAAAAGTAACCAGGACACAGGGGCTCTGAGAGATGCTCCTGTCCACCACAGCTTAACTTCACGTAGGATATAATCTTGGAGGCATTACTGGTCTCACAAAAGCAGAAGTTGGGGATCCTTCCTCTAAAACCAAACGGGTTCATCCTCACAATCAATATAGAAGAAATATTTTGTAAAATTAAATACCCATTGATAAAAACTCAGCAAAAGAAATAGACTAGTATTCCTAAACCAGAAAAGCAGGATTGAAAAACATCCTACAATAAAATTCCTTCCAAGAGATAATGTTCAAAGCATTCTTTATTAAATCAGAAGGAAGATAAGGATGCCTCCAATCACTCCTCCTGTTCCACATTGTGTCAGATCTTTCCAGCAGATAAGACACACACACACACACACACACACACTCACACTTGATCAGAAAGGAGGAACCCCTGTGTTACTACAAAAAAGGATATGGTTTCTTATAGGAAATTTATAAAAATATATATTATAAATTATTTGAACTAGCCCAAAAGTTTGGCAAAGATGAAAGACCAATAATATACAAAAGCCAATTGTTTCTTTAAACCTTAGCAACAACTAGGAGAAACAATTAATTTTTGTTACAATATTAACAATAACAAAGAAACATGAAACTATTGTTTTTATAAAATGTCCAGAACAAGCACTTTTATAGAGACAGAAAGTGGATTAACGGTTGCTTAGGGCTGGCGGGAGGTTGAAAGAGTGAGGATTGGCTGTTGATGAGTGTGGGATTCCTTTTTGGAGGGGACAAAATGTTCCGAAGTGAGGTGGAGGTGATGGCTGTCCAACCCTGTGAACATAGTCAAACACACTGAATGGCGTCTTTGTCACTTTCTCGTTGCTGGGACCCGGTACCGACAGTCGCAGCTTAAAGGAAGTCATTTTGGCTCATGTTTTGGTTCACAGCCACCTGGCTCCAAGGCAGGACACGGGGCACAGGGGCTCGGCGGAGCTGCTCGTCTCACGTGGTCGGCAGCAGGGAAGCAGGGAGTCAGGAGGAGCTGGGAAAGGAGATAGAACCTTCCAGGCACACCCACAGTGAGTCACCTCTTCTGAGAAGACCCTGCTTCCTAACAGCACATTCGGCTGTTGCACCTCATAATCCAATAAACCTTTAAAAGCCCTGCCTATGAGCGTATGATGTAACAGAAAACGTGCCCCGCTTCCAGCCAGTACACTTCAGTTTCTTAGTTGCCCAGGTAACAGTTCCTGTTCCAGTTCCAGCTGCTTCTGTCTCTTAGAAACAGCTGGTCACTGTGATGCACATTGTAAGAACCAATCAAAGACAACCAAGTATTCTGCCTTTGTACTTCCCTGTCCAGACCCCATAAAATCCTCCCTCCCTGAGCCTTTGGGGCCTGACATTTTGAGGAACAATTGATTCCTGGTCAGTGCCTGTTCAAAATTAAATAAATCTGCCTCCAAATCCTGGGTGTCATTTCGGTGTTTCTGTTCGCTAATGCAGTGAGGCTTTGAAGCCACATCCAGATATAAACCATAACAAATAGTGTACTTTAAAATGCTTGAATTCTGATATGTGAGGCCCACCTCAATGAAGTCATTTAAACTTTTTTTTTTTTTTTTTTTTTTTT